GTTTGCCCTTGGGCTTCATGGATACGCAGCATACCACTGTGGATTTCTGCTATTTTCACTCAAATTCCGAATTTGAGGAATTTCATAATATTTATATTTTGCTTAGAATTGTAACATTTTCAGAGTTATTTGTATTGCCACAAAAGTGCTCTAACTTGTGATTAACAATATTTGACACATAGTATGGAATCTGTTTTTAAAAGTTCATCTGCACTAACAATTTGTTTGTTTGTTTTGTTTTTAAGATTTATTATCAAAAAAAAATTTCTATGCTTCTTTTTTGTCGAACAAGCTTCTTTTATTTTTCCATCCTTCTTGTTTTCCCTCAGTGACCTTAACAGTACCATATTCTTTTTACTACTTGAATCTTTTTTCAGGCTTTATTTAGTTAATTTTTAATATACGAGAAAAAAATACAGCATATGTAATAAACAAAAGGCTTAGGTAGACTTCCCAGAGATTGTCTGTATGTTTTTATGTCTGATGGAGAAGATAAACTCTCTCAGGTTGCCACCATGATTACAATTTATTCTATATGATGATGGAACGGGTAATGGCGTATTTAGAATGCAGAGTTGTTACAATACAGCATGTATAAGAAGAAATATACTTTTTACATATGCTAGAGAGATGCTATTTTAATTACTTAGGTACTTGGAGCCTCAGGAGGAATTCCTTTCATTTTTATTTTTTAAGATAACAATAGAAGTGTCTGTCTCACAAGAAATTTCTTGAAACAACCACAGAAAGCCAACATCATATGCGAGAAAAGGAAGTAAAAACATGGGTTTAAGGGAAATGTGTAAGAGAAGAAAGAAAAATTTCAAGAGAGGTTAGTGACGTAGAGAAAGTTAGGAAAAACTTAATCCTAAGCATAAATGTTATTCATGGATTAGAAATGTAATATATAACCCTAGAAGACCAAAACACTTATAGGGAAGGAGGCCCTACCTTTATTGCTTCTAAGAAGTCGACTAAACAAAAATACAGACTACGGGGAAAAAGGGGAGACATTGTCTAAACAGTGCTCAAGGGTATGTACTCTCTAGTCAGAGAGAGAGGAAGGATAAGAGGAGACAGAGACCTCAAGTTACAAACATAAACTAACCCTGGAGTACTGAACAACAGAGTGGAAAAGGCAATAAATACAAATCGGAAAGGGGAATCTTGTAAAAGAGAACCCAAGTCCATGAAGACCTCAAAAATTCGCTCCCTACAGTACCTCAGCACTGTGGACAAGCCATTAGTGCTTACCTGAATCACTCTCCCTAACCTAGTCCAGAAAAAAATGAAATAACAAAACTACCCAAAACTACCCAAACTACCGACGCGCATTTCGGTGTGTAAGCACGCCATCGTCAGGAGAAAGTAGTGAAGCTGGCTAGACTCACAATTTAAATAGACCTGCTAATCAGTAAGGAATTCACAGCAGCAATTCTAATGTTTGGTTTTCTAAAGGTAGAGGCTTGTCAAGCTTATGGCTCGCCCCTTAACCATTCGGATTGGTCACCTTAATGAATCCAGAGCCCAGAATTTCGCTGGAGAAGAGAAGTGTCAGGATTACTGTTTGATCCAGCACGTAGAACTGTACAGCACGGATGACAAATAAGTAACGTATTACCGGTCCTTAGAATGGCCGGATTTAACGTACAAAGAATATTAAAAAATACTAGCCAAGGTCAGGGAACACAGAAAGGGACACAGCGATGAGGAAAGCCAGGAGTCAGGATACCAGAATATAGAGAAGTCAATAAACAAAGCCAAAGTCAAAAACCAGGTAGAAAACTATAAACAGGAACGCGCTCTCAGACAACCACAAGGGAAACCACGACAGGGCACTGAGCAGGCTGAGAACTGGGCCTAAATACCCTCCTTTAGTTCTGATAGGCTGTAACCGGCCTTTGACCCCAAAGTCAGTTACCAGGTTTCATTTGCATAATTGCTGCTCAGCATTAACCCTTTTGTGGATTAGGTTGCTGCTCGGCACAACTTTTCCTGTGTGGACAGTAAATGTCATTAACCACATTTCTATAAGCGGATGAATATGTGACATTACCCCCCACCTGAAGAACGCCCACCGGGCGGACAGGACCAGGCTTGAGAGGAAATTTAGCGTGAAAAGCGCGGATCTTACGGCCCGCATGCAGGTCAGGAGCCGAAACCCAAGAACGATCAGCAGGACCGTAACCTTTCCAAACAACCAAGTACTGTAAAGTGCCCCGAGAAAACCTAGAATCCACGATAGAAGATACCTCATACTCTTCCTGACCACCCACCACCACCGGAGGGGGAGGAACACAAGGAACAGTATATCTATTGCAGACAAGAGGTTTGAGTAAGGACACATGAAAAGTATTGGGAATCCCTAAAGATGCAGGAGGAGCCAGAGAGTAAGACACTGGATTGATCCTACGAAGCACTCTATAGGGACCAAGGGATCTGGGGGCAAACTTCATGCTAGGGACCTTAAGCTTGATGTTGCGAGATGACAACTAAACCCGGTCCCCCACTTGGTACACCGGGTTGGCACTCCTACGCTTATCAGCAAAATGTTTGAAGCGTTCAGCAGCAGCCCCTAGAGCAGTTTGAACCTTAACCCAGGTATCCCGAATGGAGGCCAGACGCTCATCCAGAGCAGGAATGGCAGTATCAGAAAATACCGCAGGGAGAACCGTAGGATGCCTACCATTATTGACAAAAAATGGACTGTGCCCAGAGGAGTCATGAACAGCATTGTTTCTAGCGAACTCGGCCCACGGGAGTAGTTCGGACCAATTGTCTTGTGTGCTATTAATAAAACAACGCAAATAAACTTCTAATGACTGGTTAGCCCTCTCAGCTGTACCATTGGTCTGTGGATGGTAGGAGGAGGAGAATGAGAGATCAATCCCCAATTGTTTACTGAACGCCCTCCAGAACCTGGACACAAACTGAGAGCCCCTATCAGACACAATATTGTGGGGGATGCCATGCAAACGGACAATTTCACGTATGAAAATTAGGACCAAATCTTGCGAAGATGGCAACTTCTTGAGAGGAATGAAGTGAGCCATCTTAGAAAATCGGTCTACAACCATGAGAATAGTAGTGAACCCAGCAGAGCTAGGAAGCTCAACAATAAAGTCCATGGATAAGTGGGACCATGGAATCTCAGGAACAGGAAGAGGCTGCAACAGGCCACAAGGAAGTGCATGAGTCACCTTTGAAACTGCACACACAGAACATCCCTGCACATACTCCTTTACATCTTTCCTGAGTGAATCCCACCAAAATGATCTAGTGATCGCGGCAGTGGACTTATTGATGACCGGGTGTCCAGCAGTTATATTGTCATGGAACACTTTCATGATATTAACCCTTTCACATAGGGGAACGAACAGTTTATCACACGGTTTACCACTGGGCGCCTGTGGCTGGGCCTCCAGTATGGTGCCAAGCAGTGGAGAAGACAGTGAGAGGACAGTAGTAGCAATAATACACTCTGCTGGAATAATAGGAGATGTCACCTGTTCCGGAGCTGACTCATTATCAAATTGCCTGGACAAGGCATCAGCCTTGGTATTTTTAGAACCAGGTCTATAAGTAATGAGAAAGTTAAAACGTGAAAGGAACAGTGACCATCTAGCCTGTCTGGAAGACAAACGTTTGGCATCCCCTATATATGCCAGATTTTTGTGGTCGGTTATGATCAACAGGGGGTCCTTGGAACCCTCCAAAAGATGTCGCCACTCCTTGAGGGCAAGAATAATGGCCAACAGTTCTTTATTGCCAATATCATAGTTGCGCTCAGCAGGAGACATCTTTCTGGAGAAGTAGCCACAAGGATGCAATGGTGTTCCCTGGCTTTCTCTCTGAGAGAGAACAGCCCCTACCCCTGTCTCGGATGCATCAACCTCCAATATAAAAGGTTTACTGGTGTCAGGATGTTTTAGTATGTCCGCAGAGGCAAATCTTTGTTTAAGAGTCTCAAAAGCATTCACAGCCTCTTTGGACCATACCGTGCTACTAACCCCTTTGCGAGTCATATTTGTGATTGGGACTATTACAGAAGAAAATCCCTTGATGAATCTTCTGTAATAGTTGGCAAAACCAATAAACCTTTGAATGGCTTTTAAACCAGAGGGTAATGGCCAGTGTAGTACAGCCTCTAGTTTTTTAGGATCCATTTGAAATCCCGATGCAGAGATGTTGTAACCCAAAAAGTGGACTTCAGGCTGGTCAAATATGCACTTTTCTAATTTACAATAAAGTTTATTTTTCAACAACGTCTGCAGAACCTGTTTCACATGGGAGTGGTGAGTTTGAAGATCAGGGGAATACACCAAAATATCGTCCAAATAAACCAAGACAAATGAGTAAATGAATTCCCTGAGTACATCATTTATAAAGTCTTGGAATACGGCCGGGGCGTTGCATAACCCAAATGGCATTACCAGATATTCATAGTGTCCACTACGGGTATTAAATGCCGTCTTCCACTCATGATTCTCTTTAATTCTAACCAAATTGTAAGCGCTCCTAAGGTCAAGCTTAGTAAATACTTTAGCTCCCTGAAGTCTATCGAACAATTCGGAAATGAGTGGGATAGGGTATGCATTTTTTACAGTGATTTTATTAAGTGCCCTGTAGTCTATGCAAGGGCGTAACTCACCACCCTTTTTCTCAACAAAAAAGAATCCTGCACCAGCTGGTGAGGATGACTTTCTTATGTGCCCTTTGCTCAAGGATTCTTTGATGTATTCCTCCATTATTTTACTCTCCTGGGGAGATAAGGCATAAACTGCCCCCTTAGGTGGCATAGCGCCTGGAAACAGGTTAATGGCACAGTCATATGCTCTGTGGGGAGGCAATTCATCGGACTGAGCCTTGTTAAACACCTCCTGAAGTTCTCGGTATTGTATGGGAACTCCAGGAGTTTGGGGAGTGGTAGTGGGAAGGTCAATAGTATCTAATCTCTTTAGTACTGGTTTTATACATCTCCCCATTAGCCCAGTCAATATAGGGATTGTGCTTACTCAGCCACGGAAACCCTAATATGATAGGACATGATGGAGAAGTAATAACCTGAAACGTCATCTCCTCCCTATGGGAGGCCCCAATGGAGATCGTAATAGGGACAGTTTCATGGGTTATAAGCAGTTGTGTGAGTGGTCTACCATCAATAGCCTCTACAGCTAGCGGCGTAGGTCTCTCCCTGACCGGTATCTCATTACCCCTAATAAACTGGACATCAATAAAATTTCCAGCAGCACCTGAGTCCATTAGGGCACTGCAAGAAAACTTCTTGTTATCAAGGGAAATAGATACCTCAAGGAGGAATCTACTTTTGTTTTTGTTAGAGGACAACTCCATCACACCTAAGATCTGTCCCCTTAAGGTTCTTAGGTGCGGAAGTTTTCCGGACGCACTGGACAATTAGTTATCATATGTCCCTTTCTACCACAATATAGGCATAACCCCTCCCTTCTCCTATACTGTTTTTCGGCCTCTGACAGTCTAGTGACCCCCAACTGCATAGGTTCGGGTTCGGACTGTACAGGGAGGTTAGACAAAACAGGTTTAGAGAATTGAGGTGCTAGGGACATAGCCGTACGTCTGGTCTTGCTTCTGGTGACTTCTCTGAGTCTTAACCTATTATCAATATGCATGACAAACGTAATAAATTCGTTAAGACTCTTAGGTAATTCTTTAGCGGCTATCTCATCTAGTATAGTCTCTGAGAGACCCTTTTTGAATGCTGAGATTAACCCATTGTTAGTCCAGTCTACCTCGGAAGCTAAGGTACGGAATTCAATAGCATAATCCGAGATAGACCGGTTACCTTGTCTGATGTGCATTAGGGCAGTGGAGGCGTCATCCTCTCTACCCAATGGCTCAAACGTGAGCTTGAATTCGGCAAGGAATTCCTGGTAATTATGAGCTATGCTCCGATTACTCTCCCACAACGGATTAGCCCAGGCAAGGGCCTTGCCCTTTAATTGATTCATTAGATAACCAATTCTTGCTCTGTCTGTGGGGAATGACCCTGGTGAGGCCTCAAAATGGTACTCCACCTGATTAAGAAAACCCCTGCATTCCTGGATATTGCCATCAAACTGTAGGGATGGTGATAAGGAGATGCTAGGAGTCCTATTAACAGTGGGTGGAGGTACACAGGGTAGAGGTGCTATAGGAGGAGACACTGCAGGCTGCAGATGCTCCGTTCTAGCGAGAAGCGTACTGAAAACCTGAGCGAATTGATCCATGCGGTGATCATTCTCCTCTAATTTCCTCTTGCAAGCAGCTATGTGCTGACACAGTTCTACAGGATCTATGGCCATGTCGTAATGTCAGGATTACTGTTTGATCCAGCACGTAGAACTGTACAGCACGGATGACAAATAAGTAATGTATTACCGGTCCTTAGAATGGCCGGATTTAACGTACAAAGAATAGTCAAAAATACTAGCCGAGGTCAGGGATCACAGAAAGGGACACAGCGATGAGGAAAGCCAGGAGTCAGGATACCATAATATAGAGAAGTCAATAAACAAAGCCAAAGTAAAAAAACAGGTAGAAAACTATAAACAGGAACGCGCTCTCGGACAACCACAAGGGAAACCACGACAGGGCACTGAGCAGGCTGAGAACTGAGCCTAAATACCCCTCCTTTAGTTCTGATAGGCTGTAACCGGCCTTTGACCCCAAAGTCAGTTACCAGGTTTCATTTGCATAATTGCTGCTCAACATTAACCCTTTTGTGGATTAGGTTGCTGCTCGGCACAACTTTTCCTGTATGGACAGTAAATGTCATTAACCACATTTCTATAAGCGGATGAATATGTGACAAGAAGGCAGTGTCTTATCTTCTGCACGGATAGGTCACTCGAATTACAGACGCACAAGGGGTGCCCACGTCAATCTGGATGAGCATGAAGGTCTACAGGAGGAGGCGTGTCAGTCTTTAGGTATGCCTCTATGGTGTCCCATCGGGTCAACCTATGGGCATTTCGAACAGGCTAAAGGGGAAGGGCATTACAGTCCAAAGGCACACCCCTCCCACGGCATGCCCGTCAGCCCATTGTCACGATTACCAGGAAAATCCAAACATGCAGACAGATCATAGACACACAGATATTGCAATATCAGTCCTTAGAATGGGAGTGTGTCTTATCTTTCGCACACTCCTGACTTGACCGTATAGGTCACTCAAATTGCTGACCCACGTGGGGTGCCCATGTCATCTGGATAAGCATGAAGGTCTACGGGAGGAGGCATGTCAGTCTTTAAGTATGCCCCTATGGTGTCCCATCGGGCCAACCCTTGGGCATTTCGAACAGGCTAAAGGGGAAGGGCATTACAGTCCAAAGGCACTCCCCTCCCACGTCTTGTCCGTCAGCCCGTTTTCACGATTACCAGGAGAATCCAAACACGCAGACAGGTTACAGACACACAGATATTGCAATACCGGTCCTTACAGAGGCCGGGCTATGCAAAAGAGATTAATCAGATTATATGCCTAGGTCTAGGATAACAGAAAACAGAGTAAACGAGAAACGAGCCAAAGTCAGTAACCAGAGAATAAACCACAATACAAACGCACTATTGGGCTATAACAGACCACAACAAGGCACTGAGGCAAGGGGGAGGTGAACTTATATACACACAGGGTGTCTCTGATTGGCTAATTTAAAATTAGTGTTAATTACAACATATGGGAGGTGTCTTTTCCCTCTCTTGTGATCAGTGAGGTCATCACTGTGTGCCGGTTCACATGACCAGGTTTGACACACATATAAGAAAGCTGCCATGGAGTGTGCAGCATCAGAAACACTGTCAGGTTAGGGAGTGGCAGCAGGAACAGCCGCAAGCTGTGGACAGGAACCGAAAAACGCCGCTCGCGGTGATGGGGTAAGCAAGGAAGCCGCGAGTGGCGCAGCGGCAGGGGACCTGACACCTGTGGGGTGGGTCTTACAGGTCATAGCGCAAGCGACATGAAATACGCCCCTTCATCCCCAAGATACTGTAGCAACAGTATAATAATTACCAACCTTGGACTCGTCAATCCAGCTTAGGTGGCATCCAAATGGGAGACTTTAAGATCCCACATATTGACTGTCCTAATGCAGGAAGGTCAATACCCAATCAGTCACAAAACTACATTATGCCCGAACAATAAAAAGAGCAGGAACTCTATTGCAGGGAGAGTCACATAAAAAGCCAGATGGTCTAAAATTATGACCATATGATTCACCTAAATTGTATAAATTAACATATTTACAAATTGTCCTAAATAGCCGGTAGGTGGTAACAATGATAGATCCCTCAGAGAATTAATATATATATATATATAATAATCACACAAGAGAGTTTGCAAAAAAGCTGAGAAGGAAAATCCTTAATTTAGTGGTGACAGGGTATTGAGTTTATAGATCCAGTAAGATTCCCTTTGTTTTTTTGTTTGTTTTTTTAATATAAATTCTCTTGTAAATTAAAAAAAAAATATACATATAACATAGAAAAATAAAAAAGACAAAACCAAGACATATATATCAACACAACACCACATTATGCCTCCAATAATAAATGTGTCATATTCCTCATGGATTATTACATCGATATATACAGATACATACAACAAAGAAAAAAAAAGTTTCTGCCAGGCCGAGATAAGAGAGGAGTGTAAAGATGCCCAGAGATATGTTACGGGTAATGATATCTATTTTGAGCTCAGGCCTGTTTAATTTTTGTTAGCCATGTCTGTCAAATAGCCTGTCTTTTTGGGGCATTCAGGAACGGGATGCTTAAATGTCTTTCCATCCTTAGCTGTAAGAACAATTGAGCTTTAATTAGCTCCCATGGTAATTCTTGCATTTGTTTCCAATTTCGTGCAAGAATGATCTTATAGGCAATAAAACAATGTATAATAAAGCTCTCATTATTTTGTGAGATGTTTGGCCAGTGCATATGTAACATTGCGACTTCAGGCTTCCTCTCTAATATTACCTTTGTCTTATCCAAAATATATTTAAAGAGTAAGTCTAATGCTTTCTGGATATATGGGCAGCTCCACCATATATAGAGGTAGGTACCTTCTTTGAGGTCACATCACCAGCACATAGAAGAGATATTCTGATACATCCCTGCTATTCTATTTGGGACCAGGTACCACCTGTTTATAAATTTATAGTGGGTTTCAACTAAGTTCAAGCATTGTACTTGTTTACAAGTAATTTTGAGAGCTTTACACCATTCTCGATGGTCTAGGACACAATTAAAATCTTTTTCCCCTACTTTCTTCTGGGGCAGGCTATCTGAATGATTTATCGTTCTGATTACATCTACAGGGAGTGCAGAATTATTAGGCAAATGAGTATTTTGACCACATCATCCTCTTTATGCATGTTGTCTTACTCCAAGCTGTATAGGCTCGAAAGCCTACTACCAATTAAGCATATTAGGTGATGTGCATCTCTGTAATGAGAAGGGGTGTGGTCTAATGACATCAACACCCTATATCAGGTGTGCATAATTATTAGGCAACTTCCTTTCCTTTGGCAAAATGGGTCAAAAGAAGGACTTGACAGGCTCAGAAAAGTCAAAAATAGTGAGATATCTTGCAGAGGGATGCAGCACTCTTAAAATTGCAAAGCTTCTGAAGCGTGATCATCGAACAATCAAGCGTTTCATTCAAAATAGTCAACAGGGTCGCAAGAAGCGTGTGGAAAAACCAAGGCGCAAAATAACTGCCCATGAACTGAGAAAAGTCAAGCGTGCAGCTGCCACGATGCCACTTGCCACCAGTTTGGCCATATTTCAGAGCTGCAACATCACTGGAGTGCCCAAAAGCACAAGGTGTGCAATACTCAGAGACATGGCCAAGGTAAGAAAGGCTGAAAGACGACCACCACTGAACAAGACACACAAGCTGAAACGTCAAGACTGGGCCAAGAAATATCTCAAGACTGATTTTTCTAAGGTTTTATGGACTGATGAAATGAGAGTGAGTCTTGATGGGCCAGATGGATGGGCCCGTGGCTGGATTGGTAAAGGGCAGAGAGCTCCAGTCCGACTCAGACGCCAGCAAGGTGGAGGTGGAGTACTGGTTTGGGCTGGTATCATCAAAGATGAGCTTGTGGGGCCTTTTCGGGTTGAGGATGGAGTCAAGCTCAACTCCCAGTCCTACTGCCAGTTCCTGGAAGACACCTTCTTCAAGCAGTGGTACAGGAAGAAGTCTGCATCCTTCAAGAAAAACATGATTTTCATGCAGGACAATGCTCCATCACACGCGTCCAAGTACTCCACAGTGTGGCTGGCAAGAAAGGGTATAAAAGAAGA